ATCCGGTGGCGCAGTCAAGGCCATCAGCGGCAAATTGCAAAGCGAAAAAAAGAAATTGCTTTTGCTTTTTCGTCTCCTATGCTAGCGCTACTTAGTCCTGCTACTTAGTTTCAGTTTATGTTTAGAGAGTGCCTTCAGCTCGCCTATTCATCCGGTGGCGCAGTCATGGCCATCAGCGCGAACTGCCGTGTTCTTCAGAAAAAAAAGAAAAGAAAATTGCTTTATATCTTCTCCCTATTACCAGAATCAAGTGCAAAATCTGCGTTAATGGGAAGGATATGCAATATGTCAGCGAGTACCACTGCTTGGGCCAAATATGTAGTCTCCTTCCAGTGCAGGCAAGAGCAAGAAATTGCTAGACGCACAGAAAACGTCTGGAGGAGCTGTTGCTTCTTGAAGGATCTTATGAGGGGTGCTCTCCCAATATTTCTCAAAAAGAAGCCGATAGACACGTGCATCTTTGCCATACTAACTTATAGCGCGCAGTTTTGCTTACTTTCTTGGTCCAAAAGTCCAAACTCGGGGTCTATAAAGGATCTATGGAGCGCAGCATACTTGGTGTGAAACGTATCGGCTGAATTCGGAACACGACACTGCGTTCCCAAACTCAGATAGCTGATGTAGCCCAAGAAGCTGCGAAGCTGAAAAGGATTTGGGCTGGTCATGTCTGACCCATGCCTGAAGACCGATATACGGTTTTGGCAAGCGGTTACTTTTTGGTCGTAATAAATAGAATATAAGTTATTACTCTCTTTGAAGTAACGTTTAATTCCATTTGAAAAGTTGATCCGTTGTGACCTTCTCAGTTTTACAGTCTTAGGACTGCGACATTATTCGTTAATATGACCATGCGGCGTGTTTATTATTTTGGATCAACTTTGTAAAATTATCTTAAGTATTTGTATTTACAATATTTACACGGTATTTACACTAATCTAATTATTTATTGGTTCATAATTAGAATTTACAAAAAGCGATCTACAATGAATAGCGCAGGCCAGTCTCTACAGAACGGAGACCGCGCATTATTTTGTTTCTAGAGTACGTCGTATATCGTGATGTGAGTAACGGAGACAATTAGTGGAATAGAAGTACAACCTATATGTATTTTTAACGTCGTTTCTTCGTAAAAAGTCAGAGCTATATCAGCCGTCAGATAAGATCTTTAAGGCCATCAGTGGTCAACTGCAGTGTCCTTCAGAAAAACAAAAAAGAATTTTCAAAATCGATCCACAATTGACGGAGAAATCGATGAATACACTGTACAATGTACTCGTATATGCCTATACAATTTCAGGATTTCGCTCTATTTCCATGGGATTAGATTTGGTGATTTGGTTCGCAGATAATTTATTGCCACTGGATCGGCGGTTGGGGACCAGGCTTCGGTTACGGACACGGCTTTGGTTACGGGCGTCCTTGGGGTGGCTACGGATGGGGTGGTGGCTACGGCTGGGGACGTGGCTACGGTTGGGGTAGATGGCGTCCATACTACGGCCCCCCATTCTTCGGTTAATTTGAATGTATACAACTACCGCTCTATGATTTATCTTTTTAATATTTTACATAAGTACTGTTACTTACATTAACGTGGTGAAAAAAGTTATTAAAAAACTAGTTTAAGAATTTGTTTTTCTTTTAAAAATAAAGACCCATAATATCTCACTACTGGGTAAAGTTCCGATAAAACTAAAAGATGCTCATGAAGTCTCTTTTTGGAGGCCTGAGAGTGGCCAGAGCCCATGAAATCGTCAGCAGAAGCACGATGCAAATATTACACAACATGTCGCATTGACAGCGTTTTATATTTGGTTTTTCCTGTGCCATAAAAGTTGAAACGTTGGCCTGTCAAAAGCAAATACGTTCCCACAACGATACATATGCAGTTGAAACATTAAAAAAAAACATTAACGCGATTGCAAAATTACACAACGACCCACATTGACAGTGTTTTATATTTGGTTTAGCTTTGGTTTTTCCTTTGGTATTTAGCGCGATTGGGCTCCCTGGTACCGACCGAGAATGCTTCCGATCCCATCCAGTAACATTTTCTTGAAAAATTTAGGGAGTACAAGCAAAAGGGCTCGGGTGGCAAACTAGTAGATCCAAGCGGAATTGGAAAAACTGGAAAAGCACCACAGTCACACCCACACTCAAGTTCGAGGAACCTAAGCTGGATCCTGACGACGAGCCCCAGGTCGCTGCTAAGAAGTCAACTGTAACTGTTAGGTTATAATGATGCCGTGAGCATCTGCATGAAGGAAATAATTAATTTATTGTTAGTACTACACAAAAAACCTTCCTCCCCTCTCACCCTTTTTGTTTTACGCCACTGAGGTCTAGTCTTTTAGGTGCGCGTGAAGCTCCTCTCTCCAGCGACGACTGGGTGAGATATGTACGCCAAGGTCAACCTTTCCCCATGTCCTCCATGTTTTCAAGCATTAAACCGATTAAAACAGTTTTATGTCCATACAATAATAGCGAAAAAGACATAAAACTTTTTTAACCCAGTCAAGCTGATACCGCTTTAAAAAGTCAGTAATTCTGTAAGTAAACATTTCAATTCCGAACATGAAAGAAAGTTTGGCCACACAATCAAAAAGATCTGAAAAGGAAAGATTGTTTTTAAATTATTCTACCGCGAATTAATTTTCCACGATAGCCGGCGAATTAATTTTCTAATAAGGAAATGAAAAATAGAATCTTTTAATCCGGGGGAAAATGATTTCCATCTCGGACGTTATATTTAATTCCACACTGCAATTACTTTGCTTAGCAACTGTTTTGTTTTTTTAAAGGAATAAATAATTTCTATTCTATCCTATTGCTCCCTTGTGACGTAATTTGGTAACTATGCCTATCCATCATCCCGTCACCCTGAGACATAAGTTGACAAGTCCCATATGCCTGTAATTTCACCTTGCGAAATGCTAACATTACTGCTTGGCGGCGGAATTAGGTAAGGTGGAAGGTGGCAGTACTTCCCTGGACGAACTCTTTCACAAGGAGCTCTACTGCTTATAGAAAGTTAGTGCCCTTACCGTATAACTAAGAGGTAGAAAGGGAGGGCCATTATAAACAAAACTTATGTAGAAAAGATATGGGAGCTACATATTGTATTTAATTTGTTTCTTGCTTTGTTAATTGTGTTTGGTTTTTCTTTCATCAAATCTGTATCCGTATCTTTATTTTGTGGTATTAAATGCTTTAAAATTATTATTATTTTTAAATTAGTAGATAGTTCCTGTCTTTATTAATTCCATCGTCATCATCAACAGCCTATCGTAGTCCACTGCTGGACATAGGCCTCTCCCAATACGCGCCATTTCGCCCGGTCCTCTGCTCGTTGCATCCATTTGCTGCCAGCAGACTTTCGCAAATTGTCAATCCATCTGGCCATAGGGTGTCCTACACTACGTTTGCCGAGCCGTGGTCTCCACTCAAGAACTCGCTTCTCCCATCGGTTATTGGTTCTTCGACAGATATGGCCACTGCCACTTCAGCTTTTTTCTTTTTTTCTACCAGCTATGTTGACGATCTTAGTTCTCAGTCGGATAACCTCGTTCCTTACCTTGTCCGTCAAAGAAATTCCGAGCATACCTCGTTCCATAGCTCGCTGAGCTTTTTTCATCTGGTGAACTAACTGTATCGTGAGTGTACACGTATTGGCTCCGTATATCATAACAGGTAGAACACACTGATTGAAAACCTCTGTTTTCAAACTTATGGTATGGGTCAACGTAGTTTACCAAACGGTACCCAGCCAAGCTTATTATTAATTACATGTATGCAATAAATACAACAACGAATTCGGAGTGTTGCTGAAACTGCAGCGCTTTTGCAGCGACTGTGTGCAGCTGACGGCGCTGAATTAAGCGATGAATCCGGTTTACTTTATTTCACCCACTTTCCCATAACCAATTTCCATAAAACTTGGCAATTAGATGTAATTCTACAAACTTTTAAGGTTTTGTTTTTATAAAAATGTTATAATTATAATATATAGTATTATTTTAGGGCTAGATTCTACTTATATGCTAATTCAAATCTCGTGTTTTTGTATGAGATATAGCTCTTGTGTGTGGGCGGGCTACATGTGATTTATTACGGCCTAGCGTTATTAAGCCTTTATAATTTATGTAGCAAAGTTTAAATTAGAACTAATTGCCACATTTACAAAGCACGTATACCATAAAGACTAGTATGATTATCTTTGTACAAACTAGGATTTGCTTTTCAATTACATTAATAATAATGAGGTGCCTGC